TCTTGACTGCATGTACATGTGTGTATGGAGGAGCTTTGTTTCTCTGCAGTGCATGCTTCACCATAGTGAGAGTAAGGGCAGATTTGCAGCACCTGCAATGAGCGCATAGCAGCCTATGTTGTCCCAACAGCAGGGTAAGGACTTCACCTTGGAGAGCCAGGGAAAGCTGATTTGGGGAGGGGAAGGAATAACTGCCTCCCCAAGTGCCCAGTTCAGCTGTAATTGCAAAAAGGCGGAAGGTAGCAGCTAAACATTTCAAATAAATGCGCCCTTCAAGCTCACTTGGTGTGAGTCTTTATCTGGTCTTGCTTGCAAATAAAAGATTTCTTTTTCCTCTTAGCTCTGTGCCTCTGTGTTGCCTCTGGCAACCAGGGATAAAGCAGTAAAATGAGACTTGTGATCTAGACAAGGTCTGATACAGACCTCCGCTGCAGCTGCATTTATTAGATTGTATTGATTTGTCAGCAAGCCCTGTCAGGTTTTTTAATGAAAATTTACCTGTCTGGCTTGATCTGAGGGGGTAATGTTCAGATTGAATCTATTTCTAAGCCTGTGACTTTAGCAGAAAAGACAGATAAGTAAATTTCCAGAAATATTTTTATGAAGGGGAGAAGGGAAATGAAGTGTGGTTGTTGGTTTTTTTGGGGGGGTTTTTTTTTTTTTTGGTCTCTCTCTCTTCCGCAGGAAAAGGGAAAATTTGAGAGAATAATTGAAACATCTGCAGTAACTATATGGAGCTAAGCTTTTTTTTTTTAAAGAAACCTTAAGAATGAGATGATGCAATCTATCTAGCACATGGCATTACTGATAATACATTCATAAGAGTGTTATAAATTCTTTACTACAGGGTAATAATTGATATATCTGTTTTTAATAGATAGAACTATGCTGCCCATAAAGGTATACAAATGCATATTTTGTTTGCTGACATAGCTGTAAAATAAAAAAAAATCTTTACAAGTAGAAAGCATCAATAATACTAACTTATAAGCAAAGTAGCTTGAAAATTGTATCCACAGTGCTCAGGAAGCGTATGTAAATTGAAACCTAATATTCTAGTGCATAGAGAAGGAATTCATATTTCTTGAGAGAAACACAAGAAAATAAGTGTGACACCCTCTCTCTATATATGTGTATATACTTTTTTATTATATAGTAGTTTAAAATGACACAGTATTAAAGACTAGATGTAAATTTTCCCTGCAATATATGAGAGGATTACCTTGAGTTATAGGTTGAAAAATAAAGAATTGAAGTACTTTATTAATGAACTGAAAGCATTTGGAAGAGTTAAAGTGCAATATCACTCCAAACATTATCTTATTGTTCAGGCAGAAAAATATTTACAGTGTAAAAGTGGGTTTCATTTTTTTCCCCCATCATAATTTTTTCCATTGTAGATTTCTTCCTCACTCTTTTTTCACATTTTTTTGGTTTTTTCCTGGAAGGTCTTTTTTTTGTTGTTGTCCAGAGCCTGACATGTGTAGTCATTTATTTCTGCTGAACAAATCTAAAATTTGAATGGAGATCTCAACAACTTAATATTTCCCTCCAAAGCCTATATTTCTCCCAGAGAATCTTTGCAAAATAGTCACCTTCCATTAGTTGAAAAGAACGTTTGGAAACATTGCAATTTTATGTGGCAATTTTTTTTTCATCACATAAATGTATTTGTCCAACTTGCTAATTGCTGTTGTCATTGCCCAGGTGAAAAGTGTTTTCCAGGCACGTTCTCTTTGCAGCTTATCCATCCTCTGGCAGCCCTGTTCCTCCTGCACTCTGCTGGCAACTCTGGCTTTCTCTTTCTCTCAACCCTAACACTCACCCTAACTGCGGAGTGAGCCCTAGACAAAGCCCTCCAACCATTAAAAATGTCTCACTGACAAGTTCCCTTTGCTTCCTGCAGCTTCCTTTGGCAGCACTTTGTCGCATTGTTAACAATGAATAAATCAGAAAATAGGCTTCTGCAGGAAAAGAATTTAAATTGTTTTATTGGAGAGAATTCCAGAATCCAAAAAACTGCAGTAAGTGGACTTTTTTTCAGAATAAATGTATGGCGCTTTGGCTAAAACTGAGTAAGCTGCCGTAAGCAGGGTGAGATGCGACAGGTCATGGAGGTAGCCTGAGCCTTGGTGGTGCATGTGCTGCTGGAGGTCCTTCCACTCCTGCTAACCCGGGTGGGCACCGTCCCTGCAAGGAGTCAGCAAAGACCAAAGCGTACCCTCCTAAACCGACAGCCGTGCACTGCGTGAGGCCTAGAAGCAGCTGCTTTGCTGTCTGCGGTATTGCCAGAGTGCTGCTTCTTACCCATCAGCATCCACAGCTTTTCAACTGCAGTTAGTGAGAGTCATTTGCACACTGTGAGCGGGTTTAGAAGGTCACATGCAAGAGTGCTTTGGGTTCCTGTCTCCACATAGTCACCTGTGTGCAGAATAGCAGTTTTAGCATGTTCCTCTGACAAACCAGACTGTTCAAGTCAGCTCTAATTCCTGTGCTGAAATTCCTAGGATTGGTTAATACTGAAATCTTTTTTAGCTTGACTGTACTGCATGGATAGGATTGCTTTTGCACTCTGATAGAGCTAGTAAAGGTCAAAATCTTGTGACTTGGATGGGTGGTTCAAATAATACAGTTTCATCCCATATGTTGCTCCTCAAATGCTTTGGTTTTGTTGTGTAACTAATTTAAATGTTATATTGGGAATAAGACCATACTAAATATTTTTGGGTTTGAATTCTGAAAAAGAGTCACTTGCTAGCAGGGCCAAATTACCTTAATTATAAGCATGACCAGGAATTATTTTTCCCTTGTATGCACTATACAATATTTAACCATTATTGTTACTTACAGAGCTTATTACTGGTGAATTGGATGGCCGTTCCTCCTTATGTCATGACTGAACTCTGGATACACTATACAATATTTAATCATTATTGTCACTAACAGAGCTTAGTACTGGTGAATTGGATGGCCGTTCCTCCTTATGTCATGACTGAACTCTGGATACACATTAGGGGATGCAGTTGTGGGTTTTTTTTAAAGTAGTGTCTCAAAAGTACTTACATCTGGCTCATTTGAGACAAGTAAGCCATTGTAACAAAACATGAGTTAATGAAGAAGACAATGTCCGTACAGTCTTGTCTTGAGATGAAACTTTTCATGGAAGTTCCCCCTACTATCCATAGCACATGAGGCGACTGGTGAGCTTGTGTGACTTGTCCTTTCTTCCAGGCCTTTTTTGCTGAAATCTTGACAATGATGGCAACGGAAGAAATTCTCTCTGGTATTGCAGCGTCACCCAGCCCCAAACGGTCTCAGAGCTCGCTTTGCGTGAGGTGAAATTCCAAAGCAAAAGGAGTTTCTTGAATTCAGCACCTGATTTTATTAATTTCAGTTTTTTCCTACTTGACAGCTTTTTGAATATAAATTCTCCACCAAGACAATGCATCCAGAGATGTTTCCTTATTGATAGGATGTATGGCAGTCTCTTCAGTCCCTCAGCCTCAACCTACTTGCAAAAGGTTTCTGGAGTCTGTTTGATTAGACACTATTTAAGGAAGAGCCCTTCCTTTTCTACATGTTTGAATGATGTCTGATGCTAATAAGTAGGACCCCCAAATAGCAAGTTTTTCTTTTGTTCTGGAAAGCAAAGTACAAGTGGAGAATGTCACAGAGTAATGTTTCCTTCTTATTATTCCCTTCAACAGTACACCAGTTTAGTATTGCTGCTTCTTGTAGGGAGGATGCAGAGGCGTGCTGCTGTCTTTGCTTGGGGTGGCTTACAGAGTTACCTGCTTGTGTGTCCTGAATGAGCCAGCCTGGTATATGGCTACAGGAGGCAGGTCAGTCATGCAGAGCAGCAGTGCAAGGGCAGGTGTGCGGTACGGCAGCTCATCAGGAGGCCATGGTGGTGGCCAGGCAGTGGTGTAATGGCAACGTCCATTGGGAGTGAAAAAATATGTGCCTTGCTCCTCAGCTAATGGAAGGTCGAAAGGTGCAACTTCAACCTGGTTACCCATTAAAAACAAGAGCTGGAGGATGAACATGAGATAGAGAGAGAGGTCTCTGAATACTGCGCACTACCCTGATACTGAATCCTTTCAGAGGGACAGAAGGCTTTACTCTCTAACATTACTTTCTTTGGTAGGACTGAACCTTTTAAGATGCAGTAATAGTGCGTTATGTGGTGATAGCAGCTCCTTTCTCTGGGATTCTCAAAACTTTTCAGAATAACTGATTCTCCTAGTGCTTGTTGGGAGAACACAAAGGTAGGTGCTGTTTTTGCACCATTCTTATATTTGGGGAAATGGGAACAGAAAGCTTATCGTATATTTAGATGTCCTAAACTGTGAACAAGCACATCGATATCTTGATCTGTCTGGTCCATGATAGTTAAGTTTATCTAGAAAGACTAGCTTGTGCTGCTGCATCTGCAGCTTGAGACTGCATACTGAGATGAACCAGCTGCTCAATATAGCAAAAAAAAATAGCCTCACAGGAAGAGAGTAGGTAGCAATAGAGAAGTAAGGGTTAGGGAGCTGAACTGGTTTACTGTGCAGTCAGGCAAGCACGGAGCTAGTGCAAAGCAAGAAGGGAGTACGAAGTTTTGATAGCATTTGGCCCTTTGATCACCTCCATCATATAGCTGAGGTATAGCTTGTGTGGCTGCACTCTTATGTTAAGAACCATTTTATTTTCTTGACTCCCTCCCTGTGACTCAGGACAGGTCCTTCCTTCCCACTTCTCGGAAGTTTTTCAACTATATCTACTGTATCTGTTGTGTTCTCATTTCTGGCTGAACAAGAGGGGGTTAATAAATGTACAGCATTCACAGTGAGACCAGGTCAGGTGGCGGTGCTGGGACAAAGTACTATGATTATGACTAATCTTTAGATAACTGCATACAAAGTGGATAACATCTGAAAAAAAAATATTCTTCCATGTTTATTTTAAATCTCAGAAAAGGCAAATGCATGTCTCTCTCTCTTCTCTCTTGGCAGAACCAGCTCCTTGCGAAAGGCTTGCTGTTTATAGAGGAGAAGGTTAAGCTCTGTGAAGGCAAGTATAGTAAGAAATCCATTTTGGAAGGGAGTTGTGCTTTGATGTTTGGTCAGACAAGATGATTTGCATGTCTGGAAAGCATACAGCTCTTTCTGGTACTGTCTTAGGCTGTCACATAATCTCTCAGGAGCCAGGTTGCACTGCAGCCCTTGTGAGGCTTAAGGGACGATGGGCTGTTTGAATAGCCACGTATCTGCAATACTCCCACCAGCCATGTCTTCATCGTGAGAGCAGAAACATGAGTCTGGTGTGGCAGTTGAACCTGGGCTTAAAGCAGTTCTGGGCTTGACATGGATCCTGTTGCAAAACTGCTGAGAGCTGCCTTCTGCCTTTTATTTCTCAATGTGATTTGCAGCTCGATGTAAGCACAGTTTTGGTTACTGTGTCATGCTTTTGAGAACTGAACTAACAGGCTTTGTGTAAATTTAAAGAAAAAACAGTCACTTGGGTGGCAGTAAAATCCTTCAGGAAACAAGTTGATCACACATGAAGTTCCATTCAAACCACTGGGGTACAGATGCTTGCTACCGCAGGGCCTGTGGACGAAGGCCAGCGTGGCGCAGTGACTCTCAGTGTTGGATGTGTGGGGAGTTAGTCACATTTATTAACAGTTTGCTCAAGTAGAGCAAGCTGTCTAGAGCACATGCCTTTATTCAAAAGTGGGCTGCAGTTTGATTTGACCCAGTTTTGTAGCCTGTGGGGAAGATCCCTTGCTAATCACCAACCTGCTGTATCTGGGTCATTAAATGCTAATAGATACTTCTAATCTCACGTCATTGTTGGTGCTGGATTCCTCCACACCATTCCTCTCCAAGTGCCTTCTCCACCCAGCCAGCAGGCTGTAGGACTTGGACCCTGAAGGAGCTATGGAGTTGGCAACCTCCTGCTTGGTGCATGCTTCTTTGGCACTGGCCCTGTAAGGGAAGAAAAACAGGCAGACTCACGCATCTTCCTGAAAATGGTACCTACCCTGCCGCTGCCAGCTCTTCGGAATGAGTGCTGTGCAGCTTATCATAGGTTTTGTTTTCTGTATTCATATAAAACTATTCCGATATTTGTTTTAACATTATGAAAATTGAGTTTCTAGTCTGTAATAAGCTGAGAGCTGCTTGGGAGAAGTTCGCAGCTGCTCAGGTAGTTTGTGTAAGATGAAGTTTCTCAGGCAGACAGCAAAACCCTCTTCCTATGCCTCATTTTTTTGTGCCTAGTTTGAAGTAACACTGGATCCACTTTGCCCATGCGGGCTGGCATCTCTACAAGAGATGACTCATGGGCACCTTTCTTTCATGATGTGTAGGCTTGTTGCAGGTCTTGTGGTTACAGCAACAAGAACTTCTTGTACATGCTTCTTGGTTAGCTCTGTCTTCCTGGAAAATTTCTACTGTCCCACTACTCAGAGATGGAATAATGTTTCAGCTGCAGGGCATGGCAATGTTTTACTGTGTCTGTTTTTCAAATCACAGCCTCTTATTTTGACGTGTTTTTTCTTTATGCAGTCTGTCAGAATCTCTTTCAATGCCTGTAGGATTTGTGTTTTCTTGAAGAAACAAACCATTCCCCCTTCCCCTTCAGAAGGAGAAGTGATCTATGACACATGCCAAACTGTTGCAGTCCTGGGGAGGAGGCAGAGGAGGGAAAAAATTAAACATTCCATTAGTCTATTTCCTGTTGTCTTTTTCACTTACAGTTGGCAGTTTCTGGTAATGGGTAGCTGTTATGGGGGTGTTGGGTAGGTGCTTGTCTGCCTGCAGTTCCAGTTTTGAAGCTGGTGTCATACCTGATATGATGTAGCCTCCCTCTGAACCCCTCTGCAGTTGTCAGTGGGCTCTCTGCTTGAAAGGAAATGTCTACAGGACCTGGTCCTGCTGGCTCTCTGCTCTCTGGCCATGTTCTATGCAGCACAACCCATGATGGACAAGCACCGTGAAAACCCATGTGGAAGTCTACAGATGGGGAAAGCACTTCAGTGCACAGTGATAAGGCTCCTTTAAGTTGCAATTTTACGTGTGTTCCAGTTCCTCATGTAGGGCCTTTAAGTCACCTGGAGGCTGAGCCTCCAAAGCTGTCTTGAGCAGCTGTCTTTCATTACTGCTCCTTGAGTCTTGACTGCTTGTGAGCTCCAGCTGAGGCTCTGTGGAAGGTATCCTGGAAAATCCTTTTGTCAGAAACTTCTTTTATTAAACCTGGATCCATATTTGCACCTGAAATTTCTGGGGAAGATATATAAAACTTGAAAAAACATTGCAAACCTTTGGCCTTTGGGATGGGAAAAATCTAAAAAACTTAGAGGCTTTGGGCCAAAATGCTGAGAAACACACAGCTCTGTAAGTCAAGCCTATGAGCATAATTTAAAATGTCTATTCAAATGATTATGTTCAGTTAAGCATTTTTTGCTTTTGACCACAGTTGTATTCCTGTTATGGGAATCACAAGTTGCATAATTTAGTCTGCCTTCATTTTAAATACCCACCTAGATTTGGGGATGTTTGTTTGAGTTGGAGTCATATGAGGGGTGACCACAGTGGATTTCATTTGGGAATCTTCCCAAGTGTCACATTTGTGAGGAGCATGGTGGCTTTGTGGCTCGTCAGGGTCCTGACTGCTGTGTCTGTGCTTGGGAGTGGGCGGATGCCGGAAGAGGCTCAGCTCTTGTAAATGGTCTCCCTGACTCAGTTGCTGCAGAACAATTGATGTTGGCTGTGACCTGCTGGTTTTCAGATTCAGCTGCTAATGTGTGGCCATGCTCCCACGCTAGTTGAGCATGCTAACTGTGAGCTGTGAGACTGCACAATCCTTTGCTGTGGAGTTAAAGCCTCCGGTCGAAGAGGGGCTTCACCCTTTTGTTGGAATTGGTCTCATGTTTTGCATAGTGCTGTCTTTGCAGTAAGCAACAGAGCAATTTATGGTCACAGCCCTGCATCTCTGTCAGTTAAGGGGAAGCTTAGCTGAGTAATGTCCAGTTTTGGACAGAAACTGTGAATGTGAAGTGTGGGCTTGTATTTCTTATTTGGGGAATTAGAGAGTAGTGGGAAAATTCAACTTAATTTTAGTGTCCCTGTCACTAAAGCTCTTGCTCCCAATCTCTGTCTTCGTAGGTGAGGATCGCATTGATGTCCTGTCTGAAATGTGGGATCACTATTTTACAGAGACTCTTCCTACACTCCAGGCAATATTCTACCCAGTCCAGGTAATCTTAATTATTTAATTCAGTCTTCAGTCAGGTGAGGCAATGTAACTGCAATGTCTGCTAACAGCACACGGAAACATCTCTTCTGTTCCAGCAGCACTGTTTGGCCACTGGCTAAAAAGATCTCAAAACCTTTAAACCAAATCTGGGAGGAAGCAGAGTTTGTCCAAGTCAGCATTAACTGTGTAAGAAGGACTGCTAAAATCTACTCGGCAAGCACAGTGTTTAGGGCTGAATTTATCCCCATTTGTCTACCCTCTGTCTGTGCTTAGCTAAGCTTGAACACTGGAACTACTGGACTATACCTAGTCTAGACTGAAGCTCTGGGCCGTTTGTATTTATAGTTCTTCTGTTTTTAAATACCTGGGACTCTGTTGGTGCAGATGACAACACTGAACCGAACTTGTCTTCAGAGGGACAAATCTGAAGACTAGATCGGGAGCAAATGTGTTTAACTTGCCCTAACTACTTTTGGAGGGCTTATGTCCCAATTGCACCTTTGGAAAATCCTCTGTTGGGTTTTTTGAAGCTTTAGTATGGGGACAAGTAAATCTATGGGTAGAGGATGAATGAATACCTTATGTAAGACCTGTGTACATCGGGTATTTTGAAAGCTGAGTATCCCATCAGAAGTGTTGAGCTGTATCATTTTTTAATGTAGTTCTAGTCAGTTTCCATATGAGCAGCTTAATTACCTTCCCAGCCTATTTTGATCTTCTCTTCCATCAGAGGAAAAGAAAAATGTACCTCATGAGGAGACTGACGTTCTTGGAAATGCTAGCCGCCTCTTCTTGACTTTTGCCTCTTCCACAAGACTTTCTTTCCAGAGCCTTTTAAAATTATTTTTTCTTTGTGTTGTTTGAAAGGCAGCAGGTAAAGCTCAAAGGTTGCCCTTTTCCTCTAATCCTATTAAAGCTGGCATTTCCTAAAAGAGAAAGGACTTCTGTAAAGTCAGACACTAACCTTTCTACTGTGTTTATTTTTATTCTTTCCTTGCTGCAGATGCTGAAAGGTAGGTGTTTGGCCGGTAAAACTGCGCAATTATAATATCCTCCCCTTCTCTCCTTTTGCAACTAATTCTCAGGGAGTGACCTAATCTATTTAGGCAGAGGTTTGTCTGCACTGCAGCTATCTGCACTGTGGAAACAGCTGAGCTAAGTGTGTGTTATACCCACTGATACTAATAATTCTGCCACTTAGCAGAAGAATCTGCTCCCCTGCTATTAAATATCTCTAATGAAAAACTGAACAGAAGTTACTGCACAGTGGGTGCAACTTTTGAAAGTCACTTGGTGGTAGTGGTGAAAGCGTGACTATGAGATGTTGAGATTCTTGGAAAACATAACTTTCTTACTGTATTTGTCTTGTCACAATATCTGAGTCACTCAAAAATATTTCATAGAAGCTATGAAGTTAGGGAAGTATTGCCATTTTATGGATAAGGAACTGAAAGGTATCAGACAGCATATTTAAAGCTTTGTAGGCACCTAAGTCCTACACAAATGTATGGATTTAAACCGCTTAAATACATCCAAGAATTTGACTCTGAGTAAGCAGTCTTAGTCTACAACAGAGAGAGCTGCTGGTGCAGCAAGAAATAAGAAATTGTTCTTATCCCAGGCCAGTGCCCTAATAACAAGATTAGGCTCTTCCTACAAATAGGGAACTGTATGTACCTATTGCTACAGTGTCACCACATGTGAAGAGAGCTCATCTAGTAAATGTCTTTCACCAAGTCACAGTTCTTCATGTGCCACTCGGTAGATGGGAAAGTCAATTTGTTGTTGGTTCTCCATCCTTATCTGCAAATGTCAACATGATTTTTTAGTTGTACTCTTCTGTGATCCCAGCAACTGCCCATTCAGAATGAAAGTAAGTCAGCCAAATGTGTGAGCATGTGTTACAGAAGGTAGTAACTAGAAGTAACTTCCTATCTCAGCTAAGTTCAAACCCGAGGCTCATAGCTGTTGCAGAAATACGACCTTTAAGCAGCCAAGTTGGTTAAATTGATGTACAGAGGGAAACTATGTAAACAGGTCACTGGCTTTTATATAGTTGCAGCTGTTGATGTAACTACTTGATGTGGAAAAAGAATAGCAAATCTTGTTTTGTTTGGCACGGCAAGATGTTTGCGTTTTGAAATGGGGTATGAAGTTAACTGGACTAAACTGCATGATATAAATAAAAAGTGAGCAGCTGCTGAAATATAGTTCAGAGATATGTACTGGTCTTTTCTAGACCTCTGAGTTTCTAAACATGCAGTGATAGTTTAAAACAGCAAAGTGCTTTCTTTTATTATGGCCAAGCTGCTCTCTAGACTATTGTTTTTAACTCATATTTACATATTGATGATGCTGTTAATTATGACATTAAACCCATTATGAAATAATGATTAACTGCTGTTATTTCCTTCCAGCTAAATATTAGCCATGTTGAGTGTGTTATGGAGACCATAAAACAGTTCCCAAACAGACCGTGGGGCAGAGATTAACATGCTGGGAAGAACAAGGGAAACTTTTCAGGCTGGAAAGTGGTGGGCAGGGCTGGGAGGAAAATTTCTGCTGTTAAGCTGCAGTGGGGCAAGAGAGAGACATGTGGATGTTAAGCACAGCAGAGGGAAAGGCAGTAATACCAGAATGCCAGATGGAGTCAAATGTATTTAAATAAATATGCTGAGAAATATTATAACATCTTCATCTGTTAATCCTGCTCACTAGTGTCACTGATGTAAAAAAATAACTGGGAGGACACGGAGCACCTGATGATTTCCTGTGGTGGAAATCAAAGGTTTTGCATTTTTAAATGATGCTTGCTACATGCAGTCTCGCTAGCTTTGCTGTAGCCTAAATCCTAAAATCTGTAATGGACTGAATTCTGGATTTTTGTCATACCAGCAAGGTCTAAAGTGCAGACATTGAACAAAAAGAGGATCCAACACAGACCAGAGGTAGGCTTAGTTAAGGAATACCAGTATCTTTCCCTCCAACTTTCTCTGGTTTCTCAGCTGAGTGGCAAAAGCAAGAGCTGCATCCATCCTGGGTTTTGGATGTTTGTGACCAAATTGGATGGCAGTTGGGTTTCATGAATACATAGTGTTTTGGTGAAATACAGGCCCATTTTTGGCTTCACTCCAAACCTAGTGGTGCCTCAGATGAGGTGTTACTCGTTTCAGAATTTGCGTGGGACAGAGACTGAAAGGGAAGCGACCAAAGAATACCATGAATCCTCAACCTGAGCAGCTGAGGGGTGCTTTGCCACAGCAGCAACAGGCAGGACAGACCCTTTCTGTCTGTGTGCATACATGTGTTGGTGCAATGCACACACGTCCCTTTACCAACTTTTGGATTTTGCCTTCTGTGTTTTTTAGGGTCAGGAGTTGACTATCCGTCAGATTGCACTTCTTGGCTTCAGAGACTTGGTCTTGCTAAAAGTAAAGTTGGAAGAAATTCTTCCTCTGGTCCAGACAAAGCTCCCAGCTTCCATTGTCCAGATGCTGTTAATTCTGCAGGTGGGAAAGCATCTTCTTTGTCTGACTCCACTTGGATATCTTGACCTCACTGAACTAATACAAACCCTGGAAAGGAGAGTGAGGAGAATAGAGGGTATGATCAAGGGAAAGTGATGTGTGCTTATTTGGGAGCTGTAAATGTAGAAATGAGAGCTGAATTTGAATGTCCTGAGCTTTCCTGGGAACAGGTAAGAATGTTGCTGTGAAAGGTCCGAGTTCTGCTCTTTGGTGTTTGTATTTTTCTTGGTACTTCTCCCCAGCTAGGAACAGTCTCAGGACTTTTTTTCACATAAATTTTCCTCTCCCAGCTTCTCTGAATGCCTCTTTGTGCCCAGGTTCTCCTGGTTTCTCAGCTTTGTGATGACAAGGCGAGTCTCCATCACAGTGGATTGTGGAATTTGAACAAACTGTGGCTGCTGGCTGCCTGACACCAGCCCCTCAGTGGCTGGGATGCTGACCCATGCCCATGAGAGGAGGAATATCTTTTTGCAGCAGGAAAAATGCCATATATCTTCCAAAGGCCTCTCCCAAGAGACCCAGAACTTCTGTGAGGACTATCCTCTTTATCCAGACCGCAAGAGAATATTTTCCAAGCATGCCGAATACAGCCAAGTATACCAACTCTTTTATCTTTTTATATTGCCCAACCTGACAAAATGTGCAAAATACCACATTACAGGTGACTGTTTGGGTTCCTTTCGCTTTTATTTCTTCTCCAATATACCTTATAGTGATGGGGAATGAAACTTCCTGAAGTACAACCAAAATTGCAGAATGGCTAAGCTGGTGTTTCCATATGAGTTCTTATTGTTTCCAGTCACCCAGACTGTAATAGCAGGAGATACTAAATTGCTACCTCAATTTCCCTGAAATATTTTAATAAAAGAATCTTGAGGGCAGAGAGGGTCTCAAAGCAATGCATTTGAAAAAGAAAAGCTTATTGAGGCTTTGCAGGAAGTTAAGTCTGGGAATGGTTTTTGAAATTACTGTTAGATTGGTTAGTGTTATCTACGATCTTCACAGCTGTAAGCTGAACTACAGAGGGTGTTTTTCCTGCAGTCCTGCCTAGGAAAAGAGCAGTGCTTTGCCCACAAGCTGTGCTAAGGCAGCTTATGTCTCTCTACAAAGAGACATTTTCTGGTAGAACTGCCCTGGTATAATTATATTGCTGTAGTTACATTGTGCAAATCATCAGTGTGAGCGTACCTTGTACCTTCCTATCCCTTGGTCAGAAAAAAGACAGCTAGCTGCTCGACATCCATAGGGTTATGGCTATGACTTGAATAAGGAGGTTGACCGGAATGACACCTGAATGTCCATTTGGGCTTATCAGCTGTGCTCCTCCAAATGGTCTACTGATATGGTTGGGATATTCCAGTACAGAGATATTTGACAGACCCCAGGCTTTACTCAAAAACCTTACTCAAAACTATGAAAGGGTAATGTCAACTTTTTATGTTTGAATTTCAGAGTGTCCATGAGCCTACTGGCCCCAGTGAGGGCTACCTACAGCTGGAAGAACTCGTCAAGCAGGTGGTATCGCCGTACTTGGGTTTGTGTGAGGATCACAGCTTCTCTGGTAGCACCTGCTTGCTTGGTAAGACATGCATATCGTACAGAAACTCTTGTTGGGGTACACAGGTTGGTTAATGTGAGGCAATGCACATTTCTACTAGAAAAGAAGACAGTCCGTGATGCCATGAGAGACAGAAAACAAAGGCCAAAATACTCTTGAGAAGATCGTGATTAATATGTTTCTGAATGTAAATTTTTGTGATGGGCTTTTCATTTTCCATGACTGAGTGAACTATTACTGCCCCACCACTGCACACACATGCACATGCAGTTTCCCCTTTCTCTGGAGATGGGCTGGATTTTAAAACTCCCTGGTCCATGCCTGATGTACTGCCCTCACCCCGGTGAGAGACCGCAAGCGGTGCTTTATGGCCTGATCTCCGTCCCTGCTTGCTAGCGTGCTTTGGCTGCCTGGGGTCTCAAGCTCACTGCTGCATCAGCCAGCTTCTGCAAACAGCAAAACTGATGGATGCTCATTCTGACAGATTACAGGGGTTCTTTTTGCATGGAGTCCTCATAGAATCATAGAATGGTTTGGGTTG